AAAAAAAATATTCATGATATATTTATCACACCAAAAACACTTCGTTATAACTCCTCGTAAAAAAAAAGCTAAGTTAAAAAAAAAAAAATTTGTTATGATTAAATCTTTGAAAGACGTGATATAATATGGAAATTAAGTAAAATGACATTTTATAATATTACAAATACCTATGATGACAAATAAGATCAATTGTAATGTTAAATACTTAGTCTGCAACATATTGTTAATACCAGGGGCCCCCCATGACCTTACTAACCGATGCACTTTTGTGCATTCTTGTTTATACATAATATAATTCACAGGAGCCATTTTCTAAAAAAAAATTTTTAAGAAGGGAAAAAATAAACAAATATATTTATTTTCAATTTTATATCAACATGCATTATACAACGATTACAAGCATTATCTGTTAAGAACTGTATTATGATAACCAGATAACATTTAAATCAAACATACCAGGTGTATTGATAAGGTGTCGTCACACTGGACCCCTATACGTATACACTCTTGATTGAAAATATTACCACAGTTCTATAGTCACCAGAGCGCGCTTCCCGTCCTACGAAGGCCTGTATATTATTCATTCTGTTAAATGCAAAATGTCTTAAAACTTCAGAATTAAAATGCTAATATTTTTTAAAATTGAAGTCAGTATTTACAAAAACATTGAATCATAAAAAGTTTTTTTTTTTTTAATTGAGTTGGCATAATAAATTTGGAGCCTGTAATTATACATTAAGTTTGCATTTTATTCATTGGCAATATTTTTATCGAGTAGACATCAATTAGAAAAAATATGATGTATAATTTAGTCACTTCTTTGGATATTTGCATCCTTCTTAAAATCTTTAAATTAAATTAAAACTATTATGATTCTACTCCTAATTCTAATAGTAGTCTGGTAGAGTGGAGTATTATTTTCTAGTGCTCATAAAAAACTCTAAAAACATGTTTAAAATATTTTTCATATTTTATTTTATGATTAGGTATATTATTTATATTATAATATTATTCAATAATAGTTATCTTATAAACTTCAAACTAATTTTGAAAAATTGTAAGTTTTTTTTGGTGTTTTCTTGTTTTTATCACCTTGCTCATTTTTTTCTTTTGTAAGTGAATATCATTCTTGTTTTGACATAATGCGTTATGATATATTTGGTTAATATTTGACTGTGTATTGAGCAACCAACCTTTGTCAAAAAATTTGTTTATATATTTCTTCAATAAATATAAATTATGTTAGAAAAATAAACAGTGAAAAATGTATATGTAGTTTTCAAATTGAAATGCAACATTAAAAACATGATCTTTTACCGGGACAGCTAGTTATATTTATTATATTTAGATATTTTCACTATAATCTAGTACAGTACTTCTCAATTTTTTTTGTCATGAGGCTCCCTAAATTTAATGTAAAACTGTCAAGGCCCCCTTAATCAAAATTATTAATTGTTTTTTCTAAATTAGGTATATACTAAAATTACATGTACTATTTCACACAGATAAATTATTAAAATGTATAGTAATTTAATATACTTTTGAAAAATATTAATGATAATATTAAAATTTAAGTATTTATTCTTTTTCCATAAACGCTTAAAGTCAAAAAATAAAAATAAAAATAAAATAACAACATTTTTTACTAGTGTGGCTGGAAGTTCTAAGTATATTGAACCCTACAATAATCTTAAAAGAAAACATGAACACGTTAATCAATCGGAATCGGAATTTTGTTCTTTAAATAAACATTTTTCATTTTTGAAATTTATTTTCTGTAGAGTACATTACCATGTTTATATTTAATATTTTTAAAAAGAAGGTGACAAAGTCCCCGTGATAAAAAACAAAATGTTCAACCCCCCAATTGAAAATTCCTGAGTACGCCCTTGGTTGATACATTGTTAATTACTGTAAATACTGTAGTGATTACTTAGTTATATTTATTTAATATTTATTACCTCAGAAGTTATCAGAATGGGTAAAATACTCGCGGGACACCATGCATACACATATAAGTAGTGTTGTAATAAATACTTTTTAAAAATATTTAAGTAATTACTGAAATACTCTTAAAATAAAGTATTTAAAATACCACCCAAATACTACCCAAATTTTTTTGTGTCTGTCATCACGGTTTGTGGCAGTAAAATACTGCTTCGCTTTTCTTCAACAGTTTCTTTTTCGATTTCAAAGTGAATCTAGTTGGTACATTCAGGAGGTCAAATTTTAAAATTCCCAATAGTTTTCACGAGTGCCGGGAAAAACAACATAAAAATTAAGGAAAAAAGGGAATTTTTACGCAAAATCGGTTTACCAAAAAATCTATTTTGGTTTTTGGTGTAATTCTAAAACAAATAAACATATATACATGACATTTTCACTGGTTGTTTATATTTGCATTTTATATACACGATAAAATGTTCAAAATATTATGATTTGTTTTGAACTGTTTAGGAACACTTTCATTTTCCATTTTTTTTTTATTTTTTTTTCTAAAAATATCAATAGAATTTTATTTTATGGTTGCGAGAGCTTGAAAATTTAATAGAAGGCTCCTAGTATATTGTTTCAAAGGCAGATGAAAAATATTAAAAATCCTTAGTCACAATTTTTTTTTATAAGCATTTTAAGTTCAAAAATTGACCAAATATGGAAAAATCACGAAAATTAGCAAATTATTTTGAGTTAAGAATTCGTAAAAATTTTTCTTTTTAAATCTAAGATTTGAAAATGTAATACAAGATTCCTTATAAGATTGTCTACTTTTATTAATAAAAAAATCTCTACCGGACAGTCAAATTAAATTTTTATGAGCGTTTGAAATTCAAATTTTTACAACATTGGATATTCACTCGATTTCTCATGTAGCGATTTCCTTATTTTGTTGTAATTCATAAACGAATAACTATAGATAACTATAGATACATGAAAATTTCACTGAATGTTTATATTAGCATTTCCTATACACCATACAATTTTGAAAATATTTTGACTCTTTTTGAGCTGTTTACAGATATTTTAATTTTTCCATTTTTTTTTCTATGAATATCAATAAAGTTCTATCTGCTGGGCCTAAGTGTAAAAATGTAATACAAGGCTCCTGATATATTGTTACAATATCAGTTGAAAAATATTTAAAAAACATAGGCACAATTTTTTTATAAGCATTTAAAGATCGAATTTTGACAGAATTTTTCCAAATCTCGAAAATTATCAATCATCGTAATTAATAAATTATAAAATGTTCAGTTTTTATAGCTAAGGATTGAACATTTAAAACAAGATTCCACGTAAGTAGTTAAAATCTAAAAAATACACTAGCACAGTTTATTTTTATGGTCATTTTAAGTTCAAATTTGGGACGAAATTACATATTAAAAAACCTAGCATACCTATTTTAGTTATTTTGTTGTGAGTGTATAATACTATTCGTGGGTACTTGAAACTTCTAAAGTACACTAGGTATATTATATAATATATATCTATGATAGTATCACTTTTTGTTGTTGATGTATAGCGCGTTATAAGTACCTAATGGATATTGTGATATGAATTATTTGGAATTTATTATAGGTTAATTTTTTTTAATACCTACCATAGATAAGTATATAATATCAGATATCTCTTATACCTAGACTGATATACCGTCTCCGCTCAGAATCGTTTTTCTTATACAATGATATTGTATCATTGAATTCAAATTTAATACCATCTATTATACAGTGACCCACTTCACACTTGTAACCTACTGTACCGCAGAGCACCTTTTTACTTTTTATTTCTGAAATAATTTGTTATAATCAAAAATTTGTTTATTGCATTTTAAAAACATGATATTTTGTTCAATATGTAATCAAAATTCTGATCATTCTGAACTTTTCTCTACAAAGTTATATATTAATTTAAACCTATATTTATTTGGATATCTCATACCGTCGTCGACGATAAACGATAAACGATAATGATAATTATTGATAAATAGATAGTAGGTACCTAATAATAATTACCTAGTAATAATATTATTTTCGTATAAATAAATAATTATAAAGTATATTAAGCTATAAATATATTAATAATGTATATATTAATATTAATATAATATATATAGGTGTACTGCATAGAGTTATACTATTATAATCTTAGATCATATTCAAATCATATATAATATATACTATAGAAATCATTGTATATGATCTAAGATTATAATACACTCTATATTGACTATATTCTATAATGGTGTACTGGCCACGAATTAAAATTATTTTATATATCTGTGTTCGTGACTGCAGCTCTCTTGTCTTAACTGATAACAATGATATCTATGATAAAAAAACAACAACTATCGATATTCGATTGATCTATGGCACGGACCACCGACTAAGATAATATTATAATGGACTGGAACATCGTGCCAATAATTATTTAAAGTATATTATACATTTCGATCACAGAATAGATTAAATTTAATATAATATTCCGCGTCTCGATGGCCGGAAACGAGCAGCTCATTGTGGCCAGTGGCCACTAATGTATATTTAAGAGGCTATATGCCTATATGGTGCCAGGGGGACGAAATGGAGGCCCAGACTCCAGAGTTTACAACGCCACCTATATAAAACACGGACTAAGATACAAAATGTGAAGCCAAATAAAGCCACCGGTAGCGCTGAAGACAGTGGGTCCCCAGTGTGAGGAACCTTTTTTGTGGCCGTCCCCACTCGGGGATAACCACCGCCGACGTTTCCAGTCCATTTATCACAATTCTAGTCCTTGATCTATGTTGATAGTCGATGTTTAATTTTGTTTGATAAGATAGATTTTTATATGTGATTAAAACTTTTTTTTTACCTGTAAATTGTAATTTTGTAAAATATTAAAACTAACATTAATATTAAAATGATAGTTATAATTTTCCCGAATTCACGATGACTTAATCGATCGAGTTGATAAATCCATTTATTAAAGTTCCTTATGTAGGAACACGTTTGTTGTGTATTATGGAGTTGTCAAAAACTCGAAGAACTGTGGGAAAGGGTAAGTACCTATTGTTTGTTTTGGTGTAACGACGATTACCTATAATACTATTGTAGAAGGTCGTATAATTGTATTGTTTTAATTTTCCGTATATATATTGATATTTTATGCATATGTATAATGTGTGTGGCATATTAAGTGAATACAAAATAATATTACTCTATTATAGTTATACCTTATACATAATATATTATTGGTTCATTCTATTTTTTGTTTTCCAAAATAATTTTCTGATTTTTATCTTAGAGAAAATGTCGTTTTCGGTACGGTTCAATGCAGAAGACGAAGAGGTAGAAGGATTGTGTTCTATTCCCACAAAAATACAATCAACAGGTATTACAATTGCATAGAGATACTGTAAACAAAATTATTTAAACAAATCATTTTAATATACTTTTTAAATATGATTGTTATTAGTTGTTTATTCAGCATATCATAAAAAATGTATTTTTGTTTATTTATATTAGGGTCGACTGATGAACAATTAAAAACACCTGAACAATCCTCTGGGAATTCTCAATACTTAGGTCTATTTGGATTAAAAAGATCATCTAGTTTAGATGCTGAATCTTCACCTTGTGATACGACTATTAAGCGCCTTGATAGTTTTCTATCGGATATTAAAGAAGGATTGTGGAGAAGCGAAAGTGGTGGTGATTTAAGCATAATGTCAAAGTAATGATATTATAATTTTATATTTAAATTAATATTTACTATTTATTATTAATTATTTTTAGGAAAACTGATGACTCTGGTCAAGATGATGATTCTATTTCTATGATATCAAATGAAATTGATGAAGCTGAAGAAGAGGAACAAAGTCAGTTTAATATTATTGATAGAAATTTGTTTGGTATTCGCCGCAGATACACAAAGTTAACAGACAAAAACATAGCAATAGATAATATAGAGACGGCAAAAGATGCTTTAGAAGACTTAGAGCTGAAATCAAATACTTCAGAAGTAATTCAACATGGTTGCTCAGAACATGAACATCTAAAACCAAAAGATAAAGTTAAATATGTTATTTTAATTTTGTTTGGAATAACCGGATGTTATATCAGCTACAAATATATGCCAATGTATTTAGTGAGTACCTATTGTAAAATAAATAATTATGAAGAAACAAATAAAATGTTGACCAAATCCGCCTCAAAATTGTCTTCTGTCCCAATATGATGATATAGTCATAAATTTACAAAAACAAGATTGTGTATATTTTGTAATTATTATTATTCATTTCTTTACGTCATCATTTTTATTTTTATTTTATCCTTGGCAACATGTCCATTGGGTGTTTGGGAGGTTATGGTTTTAATATGTGGGCCAAACATTTGTGCCAAAAACCCAGATGGTCAGTAGTCACTTATTCGGGAGCCGGTGACACTGGAGCGCTGGACGATGTATGACTGCACCACACATTAGTGACTGCAGCCAATCACTGTACCACATCAAGCCCCTTGATAATTTTTATAGAGATTTAATGCTCCAGAAATTTTGATTTAAATTTGTGTATAATTAAGTGTACAGATACAAGCAAATTATTATTTTTTGTTTTTCATTTATGCAGAGGTTGACTAAATCATCATTTTCATGACGTTAAAAAATGTTTCAAATATTTTCCAATTTTTATTTTTCAGAATACTTTTGTGCTTGGTGGTTTTATTGCATATAAGTTAAGACATGTTTTGGAAATATTTACAAAAGAAGATTATAAAAAAAATCAGTTCCTACCTAATTTAGACTATATTCATGATAATGAAGCTTCTATTATACGATCATTGAAAAGTTTATATGACCTCGATCCACGCTTGATGTTGTTTAAAGTAACTATGATAAATGTTCAAAACTTATTTACTTTAATTTATGATTTAAGCTTATAAAATTAACTAAAAATATTGTTTGCTATTATGATTAGGGATGGATGAACCAATTTCTCTATGATTATCGCCCAGAAACTTATCGACTTTCACTTACTATTTCTGTGTATGTTAGATTAAAAGGATCAATACTTATTATGTCTTATCCATATTATAAGGTTCCTAAAAGATCTTTATATAATGAAACCAAACCTAAATTGTTGTTTGTTAAGGAGTGCATGTATAAGTTGTCAAAATGTAACATTACATTATTACCTCAAAATTTAGTAAATAAAAGGTATGTAGTAATATAATATATCAAATATTATAGATAATAATTATTATATTTTTTTTAGAAAATGGAGTAAAAAATACCCTATTTGTATAGAATTAAACTCTGAGTCTTTAATTGGTGTTCGACGCTCATTAAAATTTAAAAAATTTATTCAAGGACCAGATGAATGGATGTGTAAAGATTATGTTACACCGTCATCACAAGCTAGTAAAATATTTTGATCATTAATTACTATTTTTTAATACATTATAGTCAGTGATGTTCCATCAAATATATTAAAGGTATACTCAGCTACATAGCACAATGTTAATAATTTCAATGATAAAGTTTTAGGGTGCTAAAAGGAGTATACTATATGGGAATTTAACAAAATATTGTATAATTTATTAATATAATAATTTTAAAGTTTTTTTTTAACTAAGTAATAACTAATAAATGATACTATTATACTACTGTAATAAAGTATTTCTTGAGTGAAAAAAAAAACCGATAATGATAATGGTAACAAAGCACATTTTGAAAAGATAACATTGGTGTCTATAATTACAGTTTCAACAAAAAGTTTATTTTTAATTTTTATGTACATCCAGTTTTAGTATTTTATTTTGTTTTTGTTTTCTGTATTTTAATTTATATTCATCGTAGAGTCATATTATGAGGAAATGTTGGAATGTGGCATATCAGATATGAAAGATGATTATGACTTTAAAAATGAAGTTAATTATTCCGAAAATAAGCAAAATGAAAAAAAAAAATCAAAGTCTGATGTAAGTTTAATAGTTTTTAATTTTTTTTTATTCGCATAGATACTCATACATTTTTTACGTATTTACCAATTTAAAATAAATTTATTTTTAACAAAACTAATTTTAAAATATCTCCAAGTACAATATAAAATGTAATTCTAGTGAATAAATTGAATAAATAATAATAATTTAATTTTAGGTGAGCCAAAATGACCGTAAAATAAATGAGTCAGAGGCAAATACATCAAAAAATTCTGAAAAATTGACTGATGTGGAAGAAAACAATGAAGTAGATGGTGAATGGAAAACTGATTCAGATAAAATATATTTATTTGCTAGAAATGACCCAGAAAAGGAATTATGGTTTCATCGATTAAATCTTTCTTCTGCATTTGATGTGGTAGTTACTGATGAACTGACAAATAAGAAAAAGCAAAATGTAGAAGAACACAACAAATTTATCAAAGCTTATCTTGGTTATCTGTTTAATGTTTACGAATTATCTAATTATCCAATACTGACAGATGTCCAAAAAAAAAAAGAGGTATTAATATTATAGATATTAGATATTAAGTAATATTATTATTATTCATAATATTTTCTGTTTTTGAGGTAATGTATTTTACCTCTCACAATATTCAATTTTTTTTTTTTTAAAGTTTAATTTTTTGTAATTTTTCTGAAGTGTGAAACATTTTTTGAAATTATTATTAAATGAGTTAAAAACAATTTGAAGTTAGCTGTTTTTGTAAAGTACATTTACCCAAAAACACGAGCTACGTGTATTTTAAGATATATAAACAATTTAGAATTTTAAAATACTCATAATTCACTATAAAAATAAAATATAATACAAAGCATATGATATGCCCTAGATAATCTTACCTTTAAATTTTATAAAAGGTCTATTCACTCTAATTTTTAAACTAACGGAACTTAACGTGTTCTTCTAAGCTTAAAATTTGCTATGTTACTCACTTGTCAAACGGAAACAACAAATGTCTGTGTAACGTCACTGTATATTGTCCACTTAAGTTCATTGATATTTGATTTTTATCTTAACCTTTTATACATATTTTAAATATACAAATGTTTGTAGAACTTAATGGCAGCTCAAATTAATGAAATTTCTGATGAGTATTTATGGTTAAATATGCTTTTGGGCCGTGTATGCTTTGATTATTTACAAAATCCTAAAATACTTGAAATGATTGCCGACAAATTCCAAAGGAAGTTAAATGCTATAAGGGTAAATTAAACTCTTTGAATAAGTCTTTTGAATCTTTATATTATATAATGAATGTTATCTTTTCACATATAGTTGCCAAAAGTAATGGATATACTAGTGATTCGAAGTTTATGTTTTGGGAAGGGTGAGATACCAACTATACGCAGCGTATCAAAACCTTGGATGGATCACCGAGGAATATGGTTTGAAGTTGAAATTACTTATAATGGAACATTTCAAGCATCAGTTGATACTAAACTTAACCTTATGAAATTAAAAAAAGAAGAAGCTCGACAACAAAAAGATGAAGTGTATGAATAAGTTACAATTAATTACTATTTTGTTATTTTTAACGTTATAGTTGTACATAGAGTTTTAATATAACTAAGTATCTGATGACTACAGAATAGGTTATTTTAAATGTTCAATTATTATCATATTATAAGAAAAATAGTATTTTATTATTTTGATCTTAAGAGTATATTACATTCGCTTATCTTGTCTGCATCTTACAAATTTACAACATACCAAACCTGGGTTAGCATTGATAGTAAAATGAATTGACCTAGTAGCAAACTTAATAAATAATAACATGTACATTTTTTGTATAACAATATAACATAGATTAAAATAAAAAAAAAAAAATATATATATATATCAATAGTAAATATATTTAAATAAAATCTAAGAAATAAGTCATGCGGTATCAGAATTTTCTCTTTTATAATTAAAATACGTTCAGCTTATTTTTATTATATAATTGATTACTTATTCAGTTTCACATCTCCATTTTTTTCTAACTAACCAGAAATTAATAAAAATAATTTAGTTTTGTTCACATGTTTTCTGTTTTTAATAGTTAATATAATTACCTACCTATTGTTATGATTTAATAATACCAATGAGAAATAAATGAGATAATTAGTCTACATGGTCATAAAATAAATTATTATTCTTTATGTATTATTACTAGTTACTATTTTAATTTAATGGTATAATTTTTCATTTCATAATATAGATAAACCTTGTAGTCACACTTGCCCTAAGAGTGTTTCTTCTATAACTAGTCTCAGAAATTATACATACATTATATGTTTTTAAACTATTTTATAGAAGAAGTGCTGTGTACGACTCTAATCAAGAAGATAGTGGAGAGACATCAAATGATGAAGGACATGCACGAGAGGATGTTAATTTTGCAGAAAGGTTGTTCGAACAGCAAGCCTTAAATGACCCACCACCACCTCAAGGAAGCCGTATTACAAGGTTTATGGAAAATTGTTCTTCTGGTTTTCTTGAACTGAAATTTGTAAGAAAAGTTTTTGAAAATGTTGCAAAAAAGGAACTTACTCTCGTAATTGATGTGAAACAATTAGTTGGAACGCTTATTATCAATTTGCCTCCACCGCCCACCGATCGTGTTTGGTAAATTATCAATTTAATAAAAAAAATTATAGTAGTAAAATATGTAAAATGTATATAAGGTAATCCGTACTTGCTATTAACAAGGGTTATTAATAATCTACCTTTAATATTAGGCTTAGCTTGTTTCATAAAATATAATGCTCGGTGATTCACCAAACATTTTAAAACATGTGGTTTGTTAAAAGAGTTAACAATTTAACATAAAATTTGTCAACTGTTATAAATTACAACAATTTATGTATATTCAACCATGGACGAAATCTTAGTTATCTAAGCTACTATATTAACCTAATGATTGGTATTCAGTCAATAATATTAGTAGTATGAGTTACAGTGGCGTGTATATATATATTATATATTATAATTTAAAAACATTTTTTTTTGGAGCTTGAGCCCCCCCCCCCCTAACCTTTTTCCTATCTGCACCACTGGTAAAAAAATGTAATGGACTATTATTTGACAGATGTTTTTTTTTTATTAGTTTTAAATAATTAAATTAATAAGGTTTGTTTATAAGTACAGAAATTAAATTTAAAAAAAAATATATATTATTAATATCAGTAATTTTTAACACTTTTCTTAAGTTTGGTTTCACGTCCGTCTGTGATCAAATCTTGCGCGCTCGATTTGAGGCACTTTTTGAAGATGAAAAATTCTGAAAATTGGTATAGACCTTGATCTTGGATGACAATACAATAATCCGTAAAAAAAATTTTTTAACTAAAAACTAGAAAATAAAAAATTAAAAAAAATTTTTTAAAAAACACTTTTCTAAAAAAAACAAAAAAATAATGAAAAATTTAAAAGTGTGGCGCTCTTACACTTGACATATTATACCACACACTTTTAAATTTTTCATTATTTTTTTGTTTTTTTTAGAAAAGTGTTTTTTAAAAAAAATTTTTTATTATGTTAAGAAACTAGTATACTTAATGAGGCATGTCTCAAATATAAGATCTACATACTTTTAAAAAATAAAAAAGCTTAGTCAATAAATGCTTGTATAAAATTGTAAGTAATAAAAATGTTAGTTTTAGCTTATATACTAAAGTATTTGGTATTTACTCTTAGGTCATTTTGTATCAAAAGACTGAGCAGTAGATGATTGCTTTAACAACTAACGAATAAGTCAATAATTATTAATTTATAACCATAATAGTAACTACTAATACCTTTGTTTGGTTTTAATATTTGACTGTATAAACTATAAATATATTCTTTAAATAAGTTTAGTTTATAAATTAACCATATGTTATTTTTTTATTTTTTAGGGTCTCTTTTAAAGGTAGTCCGCAAATAAATTTTGAAGCTAAGCCAAAAGTAAATGACACAAACGTTCCACTCATGGATGTCCTTACTAAAGCTTTACATAATATTTTAATCAAAGAATTTGAAGTAAATTGATCTATTATTATTACATTTTTAGAATATTAATTTATATCTATGTGTGTTTACAATTATACATTTTATGTTTACAGAAAGTTATTGTTCTACCAAATATGATTGATTTTTCTATACCATTGATGAATAGTGAATATTAATTTAAACCTTTAAAGAATTTAATTTTAAAGGATTACACAGAGGGTTTAATTAATAAGAAAAGGTAATTGTAAGTTTCTATAAAAAAAATATATGATTTTAATGAGGATGTCAGCATTTGTTACCAATGATTTAAGAAAAATACTAAAAAATATGACTGTGATAATGTTTTAGTCTCGCCAATATATTTCATTATAATATATATTTTTATTTTAGTTTATAACTTCTTCCATTGTTTAAATAGTATTTGGCTATAAATAGTATTGTTTATTTATTTTATAAGATTGTTTAATGAAAGTAGTTCGATTAGTGGGAAATGCACATATTTAACAAATGGATAAAAATCCTATATTCAAAAGGCTGTAATATCTAATCGAATTACCTACTGGGTACTTTATACTCTTTCTATTTTAAGATTGAAAAAAATGTGTTTTATTCTATTTTTAATGTTAAGTGTGGTTATTTAAATCAAACAATACCTTAAACAACTATTTTTCAGATTTGTTTATTACATTATATTTATTATTTATATTTTAATATTTTTACCAATGATTTAATACATTCATTATGAATAATTGTAGTGTTGATAACTTTTATAATATTTCACTGCACACTTTTTTTTGTATTTTGTATTAAAATATTATTATTTATTTGTATAAGTATGTCCATATACTTTGAGTCAAAACCCGACACCACGTAATTATTAATAAAATTATGTTATAACAATACGTAAAATAGTACAATAATATGTGCACCTATTATTATTATTATTATAAATTTCATTACACAAGAGTTTAAATTATGTTGACATACAATAGTATATTATAAAGGTCTGGGGCTGACGATTATCAAGCTGGTAACAAATTGGTTGTTGTCGTTGTAAATGCTCTACAAGCAGTATCAGAAAATTGGCTGTCGATATGTGAATTGAAATGGCTGCATATCCATATTATGACTCCTATATACAGGGTGTCCCGTGAGGATTTACTCATTAACCGTAGAGGGGGACTCGCCGCCCGGACAAAAACCAGTTTATTGACGTTTTACTAATAAACTAAAAAAATTATTAAAAATCATGAGATTAATGAAAATAAAATGTTAACAAAAATATACTCTATAGAATGGCTATCTTCAATTTTTTCAAAAATAAAAAAATAAAAAAATAATTTTTTTAACTTTTTTACTAAAAAATTTAATTTAATTAAAAAATAAAATATTTGTAGTGCTTACCTCTGCGAGTCTTAATAAAAAAACATAATTACGATATCTCCATTATTTCAGGAGATATCGCAATGAGTAAATCCTCACGGGACACCCTGTACATACACATTTTTACAAATCTCTTACTATACGTTTGCTATATTTGTGTAGGTTTTATAATATAGGAATATTATATATGAATATATTTCTTTTAATGTAAGCCAGTCGTTTTGGAACTACATCAAAGATTTAAAGAATAACAATAATTGGTACTGGTTTGTTATAGCCCCTCCACGGAGAGTGAAAACTTTAAAGCCCCGCCATTTAGGTTTGTTATAGCCCCACGACCCCCGCCATCCGTATAACAATAAATACATTTATTTATCGATTCCATAATAATAATAATTTGATGACAGATATATTTATGTAATATAAAAAAATTAAAATTAAAAAATGATAATAATAAATATATCGTATGAGTAGGTATAAAACAATGATAAATTAAAAAATGTATGAACATGTTTATGGTTTCTCTTATGATCACTATATTGTTAAGTTTTGATCGCCACATAAATTCTGCCATGTTATAGTGTCTAAAAATGTCTATTAGTTCATCTACGATTTTTGTTGCCCAATTAAGCCGACCACCACATTCTCTCGACATTTTATATGTGGGCTCCTGAGTTAGGGTCCACGATATTGTATCTATGATATACTTAATTATGTTGAAATCTATGTTGTTGCAAATTAGCATAAGCTTTCTAACTGTCAGAAAAAATTGTTGAATCATGTCTAATATATCGGTTAATGATAGGTATCAATGTAACTTCTGATCTATCTGGCACACTAGCTATGAAATAGTTTTTGATTATTGATTAGTAGGTACCTCAAAGTAACGGTACGTATTTTTCATCGAATTATTTCATATTTATATTATGTATTTATTATTATATGGATGGCAGGGCTATAACAAACCGGTACCCAATAATTAACAATTATTGTCAATAGATAACTTTTTGTTCCATCAATAAACATGGACATTTAATACTGGGTTTTTTATTGGTTTATAATAATATGTTGTTATTAGTTTAATAAAAAAAGTCAATCTTAAACCCATAATAATTGTTCATAAGCTGCAGATGTTAATACTTAAAATGTTGTAAAACTTATAAGTACATTTTTGTCATATCCAAGATTTGAAATTGAATACAATATTCCCAATAACCTTTTCTACCTATAGGCTATAATAAAAAAGAATTTGATCGGAGGGTCACATTATTATTTTTATAAGTGTTTGAATTTCAAATTTGCACGCTATTCAGCTATTTTTACAAGCATTTAAAGGTTAATTTTTGACAAACTAACTAAGGTAAACTTGCAAATTATTTTATTTATGAAAATTTAATACAAGTAGGTTATACTGAAATCAAAAATTATAAAAAAAAATATACATGCACAAATTTAAATTAGACATTTGAAATTAAAATTTGGACGAACTAGATATTTAATCAAAGAATAATAATAATTTTCGATACAATTCAAAAACATTATTCGTGGGGATTTAAAACTAGTATACGCATTACGCAATGATATTTACTAAATATTTGGAGTTATTACAGTATTGCCTATATGGCTATATCCAGCGCGAGCTAAGTAAAAAAAAATCAATAATTGTGTGAACGTGTGTGTATATTATATCTAAAGACCGGATTTATATGTATTTACATATCGTAACTGGGTCTATACAGTCTTATGAGAGTAAAAAATGTGGACGATTCGTTCAATTCTGAATGCGTAGAAAAAGTTTTTTTTGCATGTTTGAGAATATTTCATGGGTTAGAGAATATTTAACCCATTTAGCATGTTTTGGAATATTTCGTAAATTGTGAGGAAAAATTTGTATTTATTTTTAATTTTAATATTAAGGTACTCAGAAAAAAATGTTTTATAATTTATTTATATTTTTATCATTTTGATAAAAAGAAAACATGCAGTGCTATCAAGATTTATGTATACTGATAAGATCAACGTATACGTTTATCAAATATTGAAATTTCCAAATTTTGTTTTAGATTCTGAGTGAAACGATGAATGTATTGGTTTTACAATGATGTGTGTTTTTATATTTTTATATTTTTTTATTTTTTTATTTTTTATTTTTTTTTGTGTCTGTCATCACGTTTTGGGACAGTAAAAGTGCTTGGATTTTCTTCAACAGTAGCTTTTTTGATAGGAAAGTGAATCTAGTTGGTACTTTGGGGGGGTCAAAAGTAAAAATTTCTCAGTAGTTTTCACAAGCGCCGGGAAAAACAACATACAAATTAAGGAAAAACAGGAATTTTTACGCAAAATCGGTTTTCCAAAAAATAGATTTTGGTTTTTAGTGTAACTTTAAAACAAATGACCGTAGATACATGAAATTTTCACTGGTTGTTTATATTTGTATTTTCTATACACGATAACATTTTCAAAATATTTTGATTTATTTTGAATGTTTAGGGACATTTTCATTTTCCTTTTTTTTTTAGTTTTTTTTCTAAAAATATCAATAAAATTTTATTTGTTGGTTGCGAGAGTTTGAAAATTTAATAGAAGGCTCCTAGTATATTGTTTCAAAGGCAGATGAAAAATATTAAAAATCCTTAGTCACAATTTTTTTTTATAAGCATTTAAGTTCAAAAATTGACCAAATATGGAAAAATCACGAAAATTAGCAAATTATTTTGAGTTAAGAATTCGTACAAATTTTTCTTTTTAAATCTAAGATTTGAAAATGTAATACAAGATTCCTTATAAGATTGTCTACTTTTATTAATAAAATAATCTCTACCGGACAATCAAATTACATTTTTATGAGCGTTTGAAATTCAAATTTTTACAACATTGGATATTCACTCGATTTCTCATGTAGCGATTTCCTTATTTTGTTGTAATTCATAAACGAATAACTATAGATACATGAAAATTTCACTGAATGTTTATATTAGCATTTCCTATACACCATACAATTTTGAAAATATTTTGATTCTTTTTGAACTGTTTACGGACATTTTCAGTTTTCAATTTTTTAGTTTTTTTTTCTATGAATATCAATAAAGTTTTATCTGGTAGGCCAAAAAGTGTAAAAATGTAATACAAGGCTCCTGATATATTGTTACAATATCAGTTGAAAAATATTAAAAATACATAGGCACAATTTTTTTATAAGCATTTAAAGATCGAATTTTGACAGAATTTTTCCAAATCTCGAAAATTATCAATCATCGTAATTAATAAATTATAAAATGTTCAGTTTTTATAGCTAAGGATTGAACATTTACAACAAGATTCCACGTAAGTAGTTAATTCTGTTACCAAAAAATCTAAAAAATACACAAGCACAGTTTATTTTTATGGTCATTTTAAGTTCAAATTTGGGACGAAATTACATATTAAAAAACCTAGCATACCTATTTTAGTTATTTTGTTGTGAGTGTATAATACTATTCGTGGGTACTTGAAACTTCTAAAGTACACTATATTAAATATCTATGATAGTATCAGGGTTTGTTATTGATGTATAACGTGTTATAAGTACCTAATGGATATTGTGATATGATTAATTTGGAATTTATTATAGGTCATTTTTTTTTTTAATATTTATATAATATGTCTTAAATGACTTAAACCTAGACTGACATACCGTCTTCGCTCAGAATCGTTTTTCTTATACAATGATATTGTATCCTTGAATTCAAATTTAATACCATCCATTATACAGTGACCCACTTGTAACCTACTGTACAGCAGAGCGACATCCACT